CACACTACATAGTGAGAGTGTGTGTGTGTGTGTGTGTGTGTGTGTGTGTGTGTGTGTGTGTGTGTGTGTGTGTGTGTGTGTGTGTGTGAAAATGCACACATTTTCATGCACGCCAGAGATTTTTGTGGTTCGCCTCAATAGAGTTTCATATGTGTTCTCGTATTTCTAATATCCATACTCTGCATGGGACGTGATGATTAAGATGGGAAAGAGATACTACACGTTCTGCCTTAAAATAATGCAAACTGTGCAGCCGCAGTATAAACTGCATGATTATTATGATGAATTCTCCTGAATTGAACAGGTCGTTTGTTAGTTTTGGTTTGCTTCAGAGGGAATTTTCCCCTTCAAAACACATTAAACTGCAAGAAAAAATCATGCAGCGTTGCATTAGTAGCTGCATACACATGCAGACTTTCACAGATTGCTTTACTGTACAGTTGGTGGTGACTTTTGAGCATACACCACACTGTAAAGACTGTGCTGTGATTATTTTTATATATATCTATATATGTATTCTATTTTGAAACTGAAATGGCCTCCTTTGTCATGTTTTGTGCTCTTCCCTTGTGCTTCCTTCTAGTGACCTACAGAGAGACAAGTATGGGAGTAAAACTTAACTTTGCCTATCAAATGTAAATTTTTTTCAGCATGCTTATTAAAAAAAACCCAACAAAACCCCGGCACAATCACTGGTTCACTTTAGGCCATTAACACACACTCAGTGAGCAAGCGGTTCACAAAATTATCTACCCAAATTTGAAAGACAATAAAATATCAAATATTCTTCCAGAGCTTCTAAATGCTTATTACTCTGCTATTGTCTCTTTTGCTTAATTTGAGATTTAACCAAAACAACATGTGTTGCTTTTTTTCTCCCCGTCAGAACAGCTTTTGTCAGGTTTCTTTTTTCTTTTCTTTCTACCTTTTTTTTTTCATGTCTTTTCTTTTCTCTCCAGTTGCTTGTCCTTGTGCGGCATACAGCAGTTTCAGTGTCCAGTAGTGTCCCCGCACTGTTTTTCCCCAGAAACACCCGTCTGGACACTAAATTGCCGTCTAGCGGGCATAAACACATGGATGTCATGGCTGCAGCTGTTCAGCTTTAGTTTTCCTTCTTCATACTTTTTTTGAAATTTCCACAGAGTCTCTGTAAAATCTTTCCCTTTAGTCACAATCGGTCCACCCCTCCTGGACAGAGACATAATGAATTGCCATGGACATTGAATTAATGTTATAATTAAAGTGGTAGCAGAGTTCCTTTATCTCCTTTCTCAGTCGTGGTATTACAAATACATTTTTCTGCTGCTTTCCATGACCTCCATGCTTTGAGAAATTCCTAACATGACTGAGTCTGACCTCAGCAGCAGCTGTTTTTTTTCTTGAGCTGTTCTGCTAGTGACCAGGGTCTCACTGGGAACTGTTACTGTGACGGATGCCAAGTGCCGAGCTGCGGGCAGGCTTTGACCTTTGCCAGCTTTGGGTACACAAGCTGCCAACTAATGGACAGCAAGTGTACCGACACAAACTCAACTTAAAAAAAAAACGACAACAAAGCGGCTGCTGGCAGTTAGCTCGGAAAACTAAAAGCTAGCCGATGCTTAATTATTTCATTTGCTGAACCCTTGCTCTTGCTAAGTTGCAGTTAAGACCGTTACATTTTGTTGTTCTTTTGAGTGATTCTTCATGTTACAATAAATCATTTTACTTTCTTTTGTACATCAGCTGCTCTTAGACCAGATAGCCTGAGCAGACAGACATGATGTGAGTTGTCTAAAGTGAGTCCTTTCACCTGCTGTGTGTGGTGATGGTGGAGTGCTGCTTGTGGGCTCCCCTTGTAGTGGGAACAAAGATGGCTGTCCCATGACCACTTTCCCTTTTCTGTCTTATGTCATCGTTTGCCATCTCCTTCCTTTTCTTTAGTTCAGCACATCCAACCTATTAGTTGCTAGAAAACCTTTAAGTGTCGTAGCTTGCCCGTCTGTGGCTTCATACATGTGGACATCCACTTTTTGCCCGGTGTGTTGTGATGGTGATTACTGTCTGTTTCTTAATGTTGTTTGGGATCTTTTTCACATTTGTGGCAGAACTAAGCGCACAAACCCCTTCCTGTTTGTTCTTAAAGCAGCTTTTTAAAAGGGAAAATGTATATGTGAGAAAGTAAAATGATTTCTCGACGCAAGTGATGCATGCCTGCGTATGCTGAGGATTGTGCCTAACTAACAGGTTTACGGCATGGCTTTATTTGACCTCCATGTGAAACTGCATCCTAAACAGCATTAATGCTCTGTTTTATTCCCCCTGCTGTTATTGGTGTTTGACTAATGTAAAATCCCCTCTATTTGCCTTTCTTTCCAGGGCACTCACTGAACAATGCGGTGAGGGACACAAGTGCAATGGATACTCTACCGCTAAATGGTAACTTTAATAATAGCTACTCGCTCCGTAATGGGGACTTTGGCGACAGTGTGCAGGTAGTAGACTGCGGCCTGAGTCTGGACGATGCTGCCTTTGAGAAAATGATAATCTCCGAGCTAGTACACAACAACCTGCGTGCCTGTAATAAAAGCCACCAACAGCAACAGCAGCAGCACCACAGTTTACATCATCCACCCCACCACCAGCAGCCACCGCAGTACCACCATCACCACCACACGGAGCGGGCTCCGCCCAAGGTGACGGTGGTAGGTGGAAGCAGCAGCGAAGATGACGCTATTGTGGCCGACGCTTCGTCTCTGGTCCACGTGGGTGACACGGTGGGCCTCGAGCTGCACCAGGAGCTGGAGGCACCTCTCATCCCCCAGCGGACTCACTCGCTTCTGTATGCACCCCAGAAGAAGGTGAGGACCGATGGGGGAGTCGATACGTTTGTCAGCGAGCTGACACCCACCAATCCCGATGATAGTCTGCAGTCCCCAAACAGAGACTCCCTGTACACTAGTATGCCTAATCTGAAAGACTCTCCGTACCCCGAGAGCAGCCCTGATGTTGTGGAGGACCTGTCCCCCTCCAAGAGGAGCGAGAATGAGGACGTTTACTACAAGAGTATGCCTAACTTGGGGGGTGGCCAGCAGCTCCAAGCCTATTACCAGATAGGCCGAGGGAGCAGTGATGGTTACATTATTCCCATTACTAAAGAGGACAGCATCCCTGAAGGCGACGTACGAGAAGGACAGATGCAGTTAGTGACAAGCCTTTAAATGTATTTAAATCATCCCCAGACCGTTCCCAGCCTTCCTGCAGCCCTGAACTCTTGGAGGACATTATAAAAGGGAAGGGAGGCATTTTTCTTTCTTTTTTTTAATGGGGTTTTTTTGTTTGTTTGTTTGGGGTTTGTTTGCTTTTTTGACGAGAGCTTAAAAGCCCCGCCATTTACACTTAGCCATTTGCAAACCTACATCTCCATTGCCATCTTCTTTTCATGCCACCCTTCCTAACTTCCCTGCAGACCAATAGACTTGGAGCACAGCTATGGCAGTGCAGAGTTTTAATGAGACTGTACATAAAATGCAGAGTTAAATTTCAATTTTAAGAGACAAGCCAACTATGTATTTAAATGTGCTGCTGCTGTTGATTAATTGAGAAAATTTTAAGGTACGAAAATTAAAAAAAATGTAAAAAAAAAAAAAAAGAAAAAAAAAAAAGGAAAAAAAGAGAGAGCGAGAAAGAATCAATACTGGCTACATCCAATCAGCAACCTCCCAGTCAAAAGGCTGTACATACACTCCCCAACAACCTAGCTGAAGCCTGTTTTTTTCTTTTTTGTTAGTTTTTGTTTAAATATTGTATACAGAACAGTACCCCTGGACCAGGACATGGACATGTTTGCAAAATGTTCCTGATCAAACTGTTAGAAAAGGAATATAAGGTCCTGATCGGTCTCCATCACCATCAAGTTTGGATTGTATAACCACTAGCAATCAAGCCCCTGGCCTTATATTTTCTCAACTGTAACTTGAACTGTTGTCAAGGAAAAATGGCTAAAATATATATTTTGTTGTATTGCTAGTGTAAAATAAAAAAATTCAATGGGAAACCATAAATATGAAGAAACCTTATAATTGCAAAATCTAACGTTTGAGAGACTATTGTGTAGAAGTTGCACATATGTTATACAGTGTGTTTATGGTTCCAACACTTCATTCATGGTAGTGCGTTTGAACGTTAAGGCTTATAAAAAGAGAGATCGAGTCAACTAATTACAAAGATGCATTATCACCTTTTCCATTTGTGAACAGTGTTTTTTTCTTCCATCGATATCGCCCATGTTTAAATATGTTTATTTGACTTTGCCATTTACTTTGGTAGAATGGGAATGCAAAAACCCCAGTTAAGGTGACTTATGCATTGCACAGTTTTTTGTGTAATTCTGGCAGATATAGATCTTTTTAAGTAACGGCAGAGTGGTGGGCAAGCGCAAATGAAACGAGCGACTTTGAACAATAAAGTTCCTATCATAAATGTAGTTCTTCCGCTTGGGTTTGGATATTTTATTTATTAAAATCTTTCCAAAAAAAAAAAAGAATAAATAAATGGGAAATGTGTGAATATTTTCCAGCACTGGTATACATGCTGTACTGTAGCTCATGTTTTTTATGTAAACATGTTACCAAGGGGCTCTTCACTTAAGACTGATGTAAAGTTCAACACTTGTTTAACAAATAAAATAAATGTGAGATTTTTTGTCAAATGCCAGTTGCTTTTTAATGGTTTGTGGTTTTGGTACTATTTGAGAAAAAAGCTTTTATTATTTTGCTATGGACAAAATACACTTTTGACTCAGGTTACAAGTTAAGTCCCGAGCACCTTGACAGGTAAATTAGTGAATTTATTTTCTAGAGCGTTTATTTGCTTTCTTTTCCTGCTATTTCTTTGCTAACTGCAGAGTTTAGAGAGCGCGTATGTGTTATAGAGAAGCCAAATCTTTCCATGTGATTCAAAGATGAGAAACTCAGGTAGGAAAACTGCATTGTAAATGTTCCTCTGTGTGGTTGTGACACTAATAAAGGCAAAAAAAAACAAACACAAAAAACCCGACACTGGTTCAAAGCATTGTCCACTAAGTATATTTTTAAATGAGCACTAGACTGAGCGCCATTAAAGGGTCTGGCAGTACAGAAGTCTTGTAGTAAGATTTTGGCTTAAAATGCCGTGTGGGAGTGGAAATGTGTCCACAGACCTAACAAGGGGTCAATGTAACACTTGGCTCCGGCTGTAGAAATATATTATACATAATGTGTCCAGCTATGACACATATTTGCTCTAATTAATGTCTGCTTCTGCTGGAGCCCACAGTCAGTTCTTGGGTGGTTTATGCCTCAGGTAGTGCTAATTTCTGAAGCATTTTAATATAACACCAGTTGAGGCAGAGTGACAGCTCTCAGCAGGGTTGCTGGAAATTGCACTGTTTACCATTTGGCATTGAAGGAAATGACTCAGAACTTAGCAAAAATGCACTTTATGTCAGTGCACATAAGGCTGTGTGGGCTGTGTGTTGTTTTGACTTTTTCGACAATTACGTGACATTTTGTGCAATTATCTGAGGCTTCAAATTGTCATAGAAGAATTATGTTCCTTTTTTTGTGATCTCTTGTACAGACCCCTTGAATGTCAGTTTGGAATCAAGTGTTGTGGTGATTGTTGACTGTTGAAATGGCAGGCATAATGACATGCATAATAATGAGAAAAAAAGCATATTGATTTCCTGCATTGTAAAACATGCAGCGCCATTTTATCTGTGTTTAACATCCCTTAACGTTTGATAGCGTACACGTAATTTGAAAGCATAAAATTAGTCTTAAGAAAGATAAATATAAATATTATAATGAATTGATAGTATTTTTTGACAGCGGAATGACAAAATATGTCCTGTAAAAGTCAAAAGTAATGCTAAACTGACAATGCATATTAAAAAGAAGTGGCTAACCCACACTTACAGAGGGAAAATATACTTTTTTGAGTGCAGAACAATGTGTTAAACCTCAAAACTACCACCACAGTTAACACCGAAAGCAAAGCTCCATTGTCAGACCTGCAGGTTTGTCTTTGCTCATTGTTTTTGTCAGGATAAATCTCACTCAGAAGCACCATTCACCCGATTTATCTGTTTACCTGAAACAAAAAAAACTCTCCAGTGCAAGATTATGTACAAATTGTAAAATAAAGTTCATTTTAACAGCAGAAGCTCACGTTTCAGTGGTGTCAGTAGTCAGGTCTTCATAAAATACAGGCAAACAAATATTTGCCAACCCTTTCCTCACCCCTCTCTCTAACTGCAGTTTGTTTATCCCGACACAGTGACCTTCGACGTGGATAAACTTAGTGTGTAAGCAGGTTTATTTTCATTATTGAGGACAGGGAAATATGATCTCACACTGACTGTTTGTCTCTGTTAGAGAATGTGGACTATACAGCCTCTAGCTTTGCGTGTGGCCTTCTCACCATTCAAGATCTTCTCTAATTCCCTGCCTTTTGCTGAGGGAGAGACTCGCCCTTTGTCAAACATTGATTCAGAAGTAGGCCAGGAGCCGAGGGGCTGAGAGCTTGGTTCCTCCCACGGAGGAACAAGCCAGCCTCTGGAAACAGAAGTAGAGAATACTGTCAGCAGAATCAGAGTGAAACTATTTAAGACGAATGGGTTATTGACTGAAAGAAGCATGTGAGTCACATCTGACCAAACATAGCTGTGACTGTCTGATTGTCAAGTCTGAGATCATTTTCAGGATCTAAGGATTTCTGTAGGATATGATGAAATTGCATGAAAGACATTTTCCTGTCGATGAAAAGATTTAATGTGCGTTTCCAGAGTGCACCGAACGTCTCCAGCATCATTTTCCGTCTCCAGGAAACGTGAAACAATGAATCTTTTGCAGAAAGCAGATTATAAAAGAGACATTTAAAAAGCTATTTGTTTAACTAATCCTCTGTTTAAGATTGACTGAGATGTTATAATCATTTTTAAAATAAATTCACACCAATTCTTTTACTTTAATCAAGTGCTTAAATGCATTTTATGAGCCATCCATCCATTTCCTTCAGTAAATTCAGGGTAGTTGTCGGGTTGAAGCCCATCACTGCTGTCACGGGGCAAGCTGTGGGCTGGCTCGCAGAGTACGAGTATTTCCAATCTGTGCTCTGTGGTGTGTATGTGGGTGTGTTTTATTGCAGATCTCTGTTTTTCTTTTAATAAATTGTTTTAGTATATAGAGAGCCTGTTTATGTCCCATGTTTTTATCAGAGGCACAGGTCACCAGTCTATCACAGGGCTGAGACAGAGAGGCAGACAACCATTCACAATCATACCTACGAACCAATTTAGAATCACAAATTCACCTAACGTGCATGTCTTTGCACCAGGAGGAAGCCAGAGTACCGGGAAAGAACCCCAGCAGGCTTGGGCAGAACATGTAATTTCCACACATCAAAGGCAGCCGGAGGATTCAAACTCAGGACCTTGTTGCTGTGACACTGTTAACCACTGCACCACCGGTGATCAAGCCAGTCAATTTGGTATTTCTTTCAAAAACAGAGCACAGTGTGACTGTTCTTGCAAGTAGTATGCATTCATGTATTTGTTGAAAGTTTGTTTAAGAAGTTCATTTTCAAACCCTCGGGTTATTTCTCTGAGGTTATCAATAGCTGCTGCAATAGCTTCTGCAGCAGTCACTCCTGTGAACGGAAAACACTGCCAATTATAGATGCCATCAGCGTGAATGAAGGCGATTGTGTACAAGCAAAGGAAAACCTCTGAAACCACAAACAGTAACTGGCAGCACAAAAGTAACTTCCCATACTCTTGAAGTCAAAGGGGACCCTTTAACTGCTTACTCTTTTCTTCCCCCAGCCTCCTTTGTCCTGTCCCCAACTTCAAATGTGCAGATTTGCGGCCCATGGGCGACTCAGATCCGGTCCCGTTGAGGTGAAAAATCCAATTAACCTGCAGCTCCAGCTGCCTTCGTTATAATCCCCTCCCATAATTATGAAATTACTAGATGCAGGATTTCAAATGAAAAAAGGATGAGAGCGACTGGCTCAGGAAAAAAAAGATGAAATAAGCCATTCCCTGCCAGTATACAGAGTTCCCATTTACCTCAAGGAGGAACAGCTATTTCCTGTGACTGAATTTGAAGGTGAAGCCCACAAAGTCCTTGTAATCAGAATAAGACAAATCCTAAGCACAAACATGAGGACAATAAGGATCGCGAACTAGTCGTTGAGATTAATGGATAGACTGGCCAGACAATTATGCATTTAGACATCAATGTCTAGCTATATTGAAATATATCAAAACCATGCCAGTGTGAGCGCTTTGGAGTCTCCAGTGGTGTAAATGTGTACTTCTGAAGGGCTTTAAGTCTTAAAACATCCCTCAGCTTCCTTCTGACTTGCCTGGCGTCTCCCGACAAAACAACTAAACAACAGACTGCAGTGAGGTGCGATACATGGCGATTAACTTATTTGTATGAAGTTTCTTGATTGCATTTAAACTGTGAAAAAAAATTAAAGCGGTTTCATAAATGTTGCGATCTCATTAAGTGGTAAATGGCCTGTATTTATATAGCACTTTTCTAGTCCCTAAGGACCCCAAAGCGCTTTACACAACCTGTCATCCACCCATTCACGCACACATTCACACACTGGTGATGGCAGCTACATTGCAGCCACAGCCACCCTGGGGCGCACTGACAGAGGCGAGGCTGCCGGACACTGGCGCCACCGGGCCCTCTGACCACCACCAGTAGGCAACGGGTGAAGCGTCTCGCCCAAGGACACAACGACCAAGACTGTCCAAGTCGGGGCTCGAACCGGCAACCTTCCGATTACAAGGCGAACTCCCAACTCTTGAGCCACGATCATTAAAAGTCATTGTAGATGCTGTTCCAGCCTTTCACAAACAGAGAGCAAAATAAACCATTCATCCCCAGACTTTTGAATTTGTCAAAGATCTGCTGTCTTTCCTCACTTAGTGCAGGTCCTTCCATCTCAATACGCCTGCCTCCAGGTCTGCGAACATTAAAAACTGTGAGCCTCGCAAAGCAACCGTGTTGGATTAGTGCACCCTTAACATTGACATAAACAATCGAAAGGAGTTCAAATAAAATTGTCATATTATAAACATGCAATGATGGAACCAGTGTACTGTTAACCAGAAATAAGAGAAAACACACAAGTAATTAAAGTGAAGCAGAAAAACTGAAGGCAATTAGCTGATAACACACCTACGAAGAAAAAGGAAATAAAATATAATATTTGTACTGGCAGGTGTAGCAGTACCAGTACTGTATCATTTCATCTGGACTGTTTCTGACTAATATATGCAGTGCATCACACACTGCACATGTCCAGTTCCCACAGAGTTTAATAAATTGTATAATACAATTTTCTTATGTAATTACATGAGTTATCACATAGTTTTTAGTAATCAGGAATGATGCATTCTTTAAATCTTGTGTTCAGGTCCTTCACAACAGAGAGACTCCGTCCTATCAGTAAATCTAATATTCGTCTGATAAACTCATTGGCACTTGCCGGAGGGAAGCCTCAAGCAATAACTACAGGATCTCCTGCTGTGTACAAGCTTCTGCAGGCCAATACAGATAACTCCCACTCACAAGACACCTACTGTATGCCATGTCTCATGTAAAATAATCCATTATAGTGCTGTATTCACACAGCAGTAACATCTTTATTCATCATTTGACAAGAGGAGAAGGAATATGTAACCAGTTAATGTCCACTCGCCTAGCCTGCTTGTTTCTAAAGGACATTTAAGAAGGAAATATGATACGGCTGGAAAGCTACTGCAATCTTTGCATTGCTTTCATTCTAACCAGGATATTCACAGAGACAAAACAAAGCACATTTTCCCGTAACTTAAATCAGAGTGAGTAAGACAACTCGGATATCTAAAGCAAAAAAATGATAACACTTAAAAACACTGCTGCCATAAAGTACTCGTGTTTGCACAGAGAAATATTCAATGCCATCATAATCAAAGGTCTGAGCAGATAATAATAATAGCAATAATAACTGCATTCCTAACTGCATGGTAGTGTAATGCAGTACTGATGAAAACATTACATACATGTTAATATACAAATTGTAACTGTTGGAATCTTTTTGTAAAATATGCATTACATTTTTGAGGCTCATTACTATATTTATAATTGGTAAACAGAAGTGGGGGGGTAACCTTGGTGTGCATTCCAGCTGAATATTGATTTTGAGTTTCCTTGCTGGTGGCAAATGTGCAAGGAGGCTATGAAGAGAAGATATAAAATATATTATGAATGTCTCTGTTGGATTGTAGTTTCTCATTAAGATTCAGAGGGGCCTTTGCAATGGAACCTTGTCATGCTAATCCTGGGCAAGTGGTCCACAGGGTCCCAGGAACTGTGCGCGAGCATAACCTCGAAGAACATTTTTTTTTGTTCGTCTGTGATCTTTGTCATATTACTCGGATTGCCTTTGTGTTGTCATTGTCCTATTTGTGTAGTAGTTTGTCTTAGTCAAATATCTGGTTATAAGAGCAAAACGCACAGCTTGCTCCACTTCTCTTTGCTGTGAAAGAGAACAGAAAGAGAAAGGATTTTCCATACAAGCAAAGCAGCCTGTATTTTTCAGAGTATGTCCAACAAGTGTTGAAAAAGCAAAGAAATTAGTTGTTTATGAAATGATTTGGGTTCAGGTCACTTGTTTTATTAATGAATAATCAGTTAGTTCATGTGTTCAAATGCAGAATAGTCTGACCTAAAGCAATAAAACAAGAACAAATAAAGCCATCAGAGAAAATGAATATACAGTATGCTCTATAATTTAATGTCGACTGAACTGTAGGTCAGTTTCAATATAGCATGAGTGAAGTGTTGTGAGATCTAATCTGATTTCATTTTATTAAAATGAGAATGCAGTTCTAGGAATCCATCGCACTTCTCTGATTCATATCAACATCTTTTGTTTTCTCGTTTTACTCTTGGCCAATAAAGGCACACGGAGCTACTTTGTTGCCTGACTATGTGCAAATACACCTTAAAGTAAAGGGCCACAGTTTAGAATGGCACTGGTGAAATGTTTCAATTGTCATCATTGTACAAGAATATAAATAAAGGGTGTCCGAGTCGTTTCTGTACTTTAAACCAAGCCCAACACATTACTTTTGCTAGAGGCTGGATGGTGCT